TGTACGGTGCGTGTTCTGCAATCAGGGAGTTCGGGTCGGCCAGGAGCTCCTCGAACTGGAACCATGGCACGCTACTGGTGTCGCAGGTAGCGCACCCGTAGCACGCCCCGACCCACTTGTTTCGCCAGTCGGTTTCCTCTGAGAAGCAGAGGGGCATGATGTACTGGGATTGGTATGGGATCTGGCAGAACGAGCACTGCAGTGTGGCTGGTGTTGGATTCAGGTTGTGCCAGTCCAGCAGCAGGTAGCGTGTCCGCGTGTCCGGCTCGGTGTTGGTCGACTCCATGAAGAGGTCGATCGCGTCCGTGGTGGAGAGGCGGGGATTCTCGGTGCGGAAGGTCTGGAACCTCGAGAGGACGCCGGTGTTGTAGGACCGCAGGAGGAGCTCGCAGACTGCGTCGGTCTCGCGAAGTGCCATGTTGTGCGAAGGGGGTGCGATATCGGATACACAAAAGCCAGCCTGAAAATTCCTTCGGAATTGGAGGTGGCGCTTGCCGAACTCACGCAGGAGTCGGTAGTGTGCCGGGTGTGAGTCAAGGGGGGGGGGGTTGGTCGGGCCAGGGGGGAGTGTCTTGGTGACTCGGGTCCAAGGATGGCCCGTTGATGGGGGGGATCTGTACGACGCGCCACACCGGCACAAACGTCGTGTTATACGACGCGCCACACCGGCACAAACGTCGTGTTAGATGACACGCCACACCGGCACAAATGTCATCCCGAGGGGTGGAGCTGTCCCGTAGGACCAACTCCCTGCGGTGTGAGGGTGACCGGGGTCGGCCAGTTTGTCATCAGGGATCCGACCCGAAGAAACCGAGGGTAATCCACAGGGGATCCGAAGTGGGGTGAAAGACCGGTCGGGTTCGGGGCAGGCGAGTGGGGATTGGTCACCGCAGAATGGGCCTCAGCAGTGGGTCGGTTTGTCAAGGGGTATCCTCTCGAATCAAACAGGGGGGACGAAGAGGGTCGACCCGGGCTCGAGGCACTCAGCGCTTTTGCGCGGTCCGAAGATGGATCTCTCTTCGGGAAAAGGGGGCCTCAGGCGGTCGCCTAGGCATGGGTGTCACCTGTGCGGTATGAGGGTCATCGCCCTATTGCTGGCCCACCATCGCACGGGACATGGACTTGGTGGGTCAACTTAGGGTAGCTGGTTTGGGGACTCCTCGGTGCCGCCTGGTCAGTAGCGGGAGTCCTGGCTCTGCTCAGTCTTAGAGCTCCCGGTTGAAGCGCAGGTGTCCGTCGGGGCCGAGCAGGATGCCCTCGATGGTCGCCATGGTGCGTTGTTCGGGGGTCAGGAAATTGGAAATTGTCTCAATGATGGTCTCCCCGAAGGTGATTGCCATGTTGTCCACAAAAGGGTCTCGCCGGGAGGCGCGACAGAGCTGCCTCCCGAAGGTAAGCCAGGAACAGGTCAGTTGTTGTAGCATGTGCTGCCGGTTGGCGCTGTTGAGCAGCTGGAGTTGTTGGTGAACGTGTTGCTGGATAATCCAGCGCAGCAGGCTCCTGAGAGGTGTGACCTGCGTAGTTGGTTCCACGGGTACAAGAAAAAGGCCCCCGAAGTCATTGCCGTACACATTGGTGGGGGTGCGCGAGAAGATGCCGTAGTTGGTCAGGTGCCATTGCAAGCCGATGTGGTCGAGGACGGAGGGGAATTCCGGTAGCAGTTCCGGATTGATCAGGAAGGTGGCATCTTCGTGTACCCGCGCGCGGATGTGTCCGGCCCGCTGGGTTGACAGCAGGCCTTGTGTGCTGTCGTCACGGTCGATGCCTGGCGGCTGGAGCCACTGGACTAAGTCGTGATGTTGGTTGGATGGTGTGGGGGGTGCCGCCTTGGATGGTGTGGTGGGTTGCGGGCGTGGTGAAGGCATGTGGTGCGGGACGGGCCCGGTCGATGTGGTGGTCGCCTCCGGGAATCGGGCCTGTCTGGGAGTGTCGCGAGCCGTGGGTGTCGCGAAGTTGACGGTCCGCGGTGGTGTCATAGCTCGGGAGTATCCCGGTTGTGTGGAGCGGCCTCGCTGCTGTCGGGGGTGTTGTTCCGTTGGCGAGACGGGTTCAATGTGCTTGGCGGGCCACGTGGTACCGCGTATGGCATCTGGTAGGTGCACGGATCGGGGTACCGAACGTTCATGTGGTGAATGGGCGTGTTCCACTCGCCGTGAAGGTGGTCGCGGAGGATTTCAAAGGCCTCCCGCCTGGACACGAAGCGCCATTCACGGTGGGCTGTGTCATAGTGGATGCCCACGCCGGTGTTGGGTCTGGCATGGTGCACGAAGCGCAGCCAGGCAAGAAGGTCACCATGCAGGACTGAGTCGCTGTGAACATGGCGGCATTCGGTACCACTGTCGCAAAAGCCTTCTGGATGCCGGGCCTGTTGTCGAAGATGTCGGTAACAAATGTTGTCTCGCGGCATCCAACGCGCATCAACGAACTCCGGATGCAAAAAGGCGCACTGGTGGTCAGAGGCAGGTGCACGTCCCCTGCAGCCGGAATGGTTGATGAACTGGTTGCAGACCTGATTGCCCTGCAAGATGTTGCCCGGACCGACCGCCTCGGGCAGGATCGAAAGATGGTCTTGAAGGGCCCGGTACAGTCGTTCATAATCCGGGTCGAGCTCGGTCATTTCCATGAGCTGGTACTCCTCCACGATGGATGCGAAATTCGCTGGAGCAGTCATGGCGGTCGAGCAGGCAGGGCAGGTAGGTCGGAAAGAAAAAGAAAAATTTGGCTAATTCGCCAAAATGGCGAACGGAGCATGAATCAAGCAGTGTCATCCTGCAGGCACTCAAGGTTCGAATCTGAGTGTGATTCAAATGCCTTCCGCTATCGGTTGTTACTTTTAACACAAGTGTTAACCGCAACAAATATGACCGCCGGCTTGCGGCAAAAACCACTTGTTTGTTTTTGCCAACGCCTAAAATGTTTGACCCCTGGAAGGTCCAGGTATGTACCAGTTCTGTGGCCCATCACCACTCCCGTACTCGAAACCGGCCAAATTCTCAAGGCCATGGCCATCCCCAGCAACCCTTCAAGGGGGCTTTTCACCATGGCACTTTGTTTGTTTGTCTCCAAGTGGCTGCGCATTCTGAGACATTCGATTTTAAGAAACATACCCCCCCCCCCAAAAAAAAAAAAGAGAAACAAAAACACCCGAAATGGGAAAAAAACACCCAATTGGGAACCCGTAGTTGGGCCCAACAAAAGAAGCCGGCTTGGTTCCCCGTCACATGATCCCAGGAAGGGCGTCCCCTCTGGTCTTTGAGTTGGGGCCCCCATTTGGTGAGTTGCCCCATGAGACCAGCCCACTTTACTTGCAGAAACTCGTCGGGCACAGAAGATCAGGTCATTAAAAAAACAAGAGAAGCAGTGGGGTCAATACAAAAATCGAGTTCAAAAAATGCGGAACTCTTGGGAACGAGACAGATCGATAATGTTTTGTTGGGAGAGAGTGTAAACATGACAATTCTCCGAAGCTCATGGTGAATCTTGAAACCTTTGCAATCACGGGCCGAATCCATCATGGTTTCGTTCGCGAATGGGAGCTAGTGGAATGTGGAATATGGATGCATCGACCGGCATCAACCGGAAAGGGGGGCGATATTCACATGGCATAGCACGCTTGGTGGTCAAGGGTTTTTGGTCGGGACCCAATCCCAATAGGTTTGTTGGGGCTGGCGGAAGGCAGCAAGCCACCTTGCCCCAGCTCATTGGAACTTCGGTGCCGTCCTTGTGAACCCCGGACGTGAGGATGTTGGTATATACCGAGAAGCATAGGCGTCCTTTTGGAAAAATGGATGGCCCTGGTAAATGGAATAAACCCCATCTAAACCAGTGCCTTCTCCATTCTTAACCACACTAACCTAGAAAGGAAATTTATGGCCAGAAGGCAATTGTTCAGGTTCTGCTGCAAGCTCAGGGCCCAGTGCACATGGGAGGTGGTATGTCTGTACTCTTCTGCCTCTCCGATTTGCATGGCGCACCCTGACAAGTGCATGCCAATGGTCGGGTGGTTCCACAACAAAGATGCGCCCAGAAACATGGCAATCCCCACGAGGCACGCTCATCCGATACGACCTTTTGGGATCAGATGCGAGTTGGGGCACGGACCTGGTAGGGTGCTTTGTCACCTCGTTTGGATCGGGTTGAACGAATGGTCTGCTGGCCATGCACAACCTTGCTGCGGGCAAATGTTCGGAAATGTCCGCATTCCAATCTAAGGAACCTTCAATCTTGGGCTTCGCTCTGGCCAGGCCGGCCTACTCATCCGCAAGTCGCAGCGCGGTGCCGACCCAGCATCACAAATTCGGAGTGTCTAAAACGAACAGTACCCAAGCGACGAGTCCAAGAAGTCGTATCCACGAAGTCAAGGAATTTAGGCTAAGTACTTCATCTCCCGCTTTGCACGTTCCAAGCCGCTGCCTGTTCGTTTTCCTTTGGGGGCTATGGCCTGGATGCCCCCCTTGGGGGCATACAGCATAACAAGGCCTTGCTAAGTGTTTTATGGATCAGGGTGGCCATTTTTGATGCTTTTGTTGGCACCTGGGCCTGCCTCCACGAGGAAACTTGCACTTGCATTTGTCCAAGGATTAAACATGACCACCCTGTAGATGGCACCCCCCTCCCTATTTCCCTATAGCCGAGGTCCGTGACCAGATGTCCTTTTGGAAAATAGATGGCCCTGATAGATGTTTCAACATGTAGGTTTACCTGGTTGATGCAAACTAATAAAAATAGAATGGCGTGAAAGAATTATTTTTCCAGAACAGGAGTTATTAAGCACAAAAGCCATCTATTTTCTGCCAAACAACAAAAAGCACACTTCTGAGGGTTTTTGTATTACGCCCTGGGATTACACCCTTGAGATGACCCAGCATGGTTCAAAATCACACAGTTTTATCCGGAAATGTGCCTAAATGGGGTCAATACCCAGTGGGTGTATTCCCAGAGTGCAATACAAAAACCCCTAGAACACCCAGAAGTCCGTGACGCCAAGGCTAAGACCAGGCCTCCTCTTGAAGCGACTGTCTCTGGTCCTGTTCCCGGCGAAGTCGCTCCTGAAGCCACCGGGCCTGACGATTTCCCTTTAAAACCAAGAGGGGGAAAGTCAAGAAGGTCTGAAAAACGAAAGGCTTGAACAAAAAAACCTTCTTGGTTGGAGGAGGCTGAAAAATCAAGTAGACGTAAGCAAATGGAAGGTTTGGAACCACCCCCCCGGTTTTTTGGTCTAGGTCTGGTTCCTCAGGCCGATTTTGTATTCAATCCTAGTTCAGAAGGCGCTGGAGGGGCTTCCAGACCCGGGCCGGTCAGCCCAGCTGATGGTCCATCATCCCTATCCCTGGGGCTCAAACCACTGAAACGAAGGGGGCGTCATTGAACCGCCATTGTTTAACTAGGGATTGTCCTCCAAAATGGGTCCTTGCCATTCTGTTGATGGTTTGGGTGAACCCATATTGGGAAAGCACAAGGGCAAGGAATGCAAGGGAAGGATCGGCAATGGACGTGAAGAGGCCGCTTTGGGAAGCCTCTGGATTCCAAAGAACAGTTGCAACCCATGGTGAATCCCTCCCTGCACATTCACATCAAACCCGGTACCCTCCCACCAGCTAACATGGGTTTGTGCACAGACCCCTGTAGGAAGACCACTTTCCTCTTGGAAAGGGCCTTTCTGCACTTCCATGTTATGGCGGGAGGGTAAATACAATTCATAGAGGAGCCTCTTTTTTGGGGAACCCGCCCTTTTGAGTTGCGGGTGAATCTGCAGGAGAGTGCAAAACTTTCAACTGTCATGCCTAATTGGTTGAATTGAGCTTCTCATTGACTATTTCTCCACTGACTGAGGGAGCTTCCCTGATATCACAAGAACCAACCTCGTTCCCACGAGAACCACATGCGCGTCTGAATCAAACAAGGATTGTTCTACTGGAGCTGCCATGGACATTCGGATCGGAGGCACGGTCAATCCTGGTAGCGGGCTACACAACGTAGATGCACCACAAATGGCTTACAACTCCCAACAGACGTGGGGAAAGGGACGACGAAACCACCATCATCTACTGTCACCCAAGTGTTAAGTGTTTGCATGTATTTGTCTTGGCCTCTATGACCCTTCCTCCCAGTAACATGGCATCTGACAGGGAGTCCCTTGAAACTGAAATTGATCTTCCAGGTACCTCCCCACAGGTGCCATGTTAGTCAGAGGGAGGGTAAACCTCTCAAATTCGATAGGGTATTCGTGGCAAAAACTGCTCCCCAAAACAGTGCAACGAACACTTCTGTTCCGTCACCTCTGCTCCAGAAAACCAATGTCCAAGTGGCGGCTCCTTCATCTCGGCCAACTGCGCCTGTGGATGGGTCACCGGGGCGTCGTGGCTGCTGCCCTTCATTGCCAGGGACGCCTGAGGCTTTTTTTTCTCACACGGGGCGGGCACACCCCGAGAGTTCTGCTCGGCTTCCCTCCAATTGGTGGTTTGGGTTGGATGGTTTGGTGGTTTCGGAGGGGTTTTCCGTTTTTTATCCTCTAGAACCAGGGCTTCCCCAAACCAATCCAAACAAAGCACCAATTGGGAGTTCCGTGAAATGGCAGTGGGTCACAAATGCGTACCCGAAATGGCTTGCCCTGGCACATATAAACACAAACTCAAACCTGTGGTATATCTCCTGGTTTAAACATTTTGACCCATACCCAAATGGCTTGGTGGCCTTTTAGCTTTCCTTTTTCAAAAACAAGGGCCCCAAGAGGCACCGAGTCTCAGAAAAAGACACACAATCTGTGGAGAACCAGGCGAAAACCCACGGGGTGCCGTGCAAACGGACCACAAGAAACGGCGGACTGGTTGGTAACTTCCTTTGCGCGACGGAACAAACATGTAAATATGGACACCCGAATTCAGCCCCAGAAGGCATAAACAAGTTCAAACCATTTTGGTTGGCTGATTAGTTGGCTGGTTGGTTGGTTGCCGTTCCAACATTCATGCAAGTGGACAAGAAGCCTTCTCATTAAAGGAACAAAACTGACATGGAGTCTTCAGGTGTGGAGCGACGTAAGGGAGCAATTGGGCAGTCATGATCAGCACACAGGCCTTGCATAAGGGGAATGCCACCTGTTCCCTTGTATGTATATATATATATAATATTGCTGCACACCTGAGAATCCCATCCCGGAAACTGTTGTTGATTTCAGGAGGGTGTTTCTTTTTTCCCCCCCCCTTCTGTCAACTTCCATAATTCAGCCTCCCTCTAAATGGCGGTTTGGAGCCCGGTGGTTTAGAGATAGTGGTGTTATAGGGGTGATTGCACCCAAAAGAACCAGGGGTTCAAACCCCCAAACCACCAATCTAAACCAGCAATTTCCATCCCTTTTAGCATCCCCGGAGACGTGACTTTCCCATCCTTACCCTCCCTCCCACTACTAGCATGGCACCCGACTGGGACCCGGTCCCTCCAACAGGAAAAACTCACCTTCTAGGTGCCTCCCCACAGGTGCCTCGGCAAGGTGGGAGGAAGGGCAAGGCGAAACTCGCTGGTGCTCAGTAGGGGAATGACTGAGTCCAGGGTGTTGGGAATGAACCCAACATTCCCCTTGAAGGAAACCAAAAGGGATGGGCTTTCTTGGGGTCATTCCAACTGGATCCATGCCTATCGAGCCACCCTCGATAGATCGGCTAAAGGAGCTTCCAAGCTTGCACGGAACTAAGGGAGTACCACCAACCATAGGTGACCCAAATTGGAAACAAAAGATGGGTGGCCCTGGCAAGTAAATCGCATCCCCAGTTTTCATTGGCTCAAGGGATTCATGGACATAGGTGTCCTTTTAGGGCAAATAGATGGATATCCCTGGTAGATGATTCAACCACCAGGTAAACCAGGGCCATCTATTTTGCTACCCAGAGGCTCCTGAAGCTTTCAATGGAAGACCCGACCCCTCCATTAGACACCCCGGAGGTGGTTGGGGGTCTCAAAACCAGGTTGTTTGAAGGCCCTAAATCAATCGAATTGGAGCCTCTGGGTACCAAAACAACCAAAAAGGACACCTACTGTGGATGGACGAAATCCTGCACCACTTGGAAACCATGGGAAAGATTTATTTGATGGATTTTACAGGGGAATCGACTCATTCCAAGGTTTCTTGGGTGGTGCAAGATTTCGTCCATCCACAGTATGTTCACGGAATCTCGGATCGCTCCTCGGCGCCGTGGAGCTTCGCCGAGAGCTCAGTGCGCTCTGCCTCGCGAGCTCGTCCCGTGGTTTCTCGAAGAGACAACTCTTGGGGCATAGAATCCACAAGGCTCTCAGATGCGCGGTGGATTTCCGTGGGAAGGAAGGGCATCCCTTTTTTGGTTGGTTGGGTTTACAGGGGATCCCTGCCCCCGAAAAAAGACAAAGGGCGCCGCTTCGCAACTGCAGCAGCATTCTGAGAGCATCATCATTTCATGGGCCCACCAAGGGTGGCATCTTGCGGGGCTCCGGTGTTTTTTTTGTTTGGAATCAACATTTTGAAATCACGCCTGGGGGGTCCAGGTTTTTTTTTGTTTGAAATCACGCCTGGAGGGTCCAGGTGTTCTTTTGAAATCACGCTTGGGGGGTTCCTTTTTTTATCACGCCTGGGGGATTTCGGTGCTGTTGTTTTTTGGAAATCACGCCTGGAGGTCCCGGTGCTTGTTTTGTTGCATTCCTGCCTGTGGGCCGGAGCGTTTTTTCTTTTAAATTCACGCCTTGGGGCTCCGTTTTTTGTTGGAATTCACGCCTCTGGGCTGGTGCTTTTGAAAAACAGAACACCAGCCCAGAGGCGTGAATTCCAACAAAAAACGGAGCCCCAAGGCGTGAATTCAAAAGAAAAAACACCCCGGCCACCTGGACCCCCCAGGCGTGATTTCAAAAAAACACACCGAAATCCCCCCAGGCGGGATTTCAAACAAACAAACACCTGGACCCCTCAGGCGTGTTGTTTTTTTTTTTTTTTTTTTAAAAAGGCCTGTATTTTTCTCTTTTTCTTTGCAACCACCAGTCGCTCACTCACTTACTTGCTCGCTTCGTCTGTGAGAAAAAAAAAAGAATCCAAATGAGGAGTTTCAAAATAAACACGGCTGGTGTAAATTCAAAGAAAAAGCACAGGTTCCCATCTTGCGGCTGTCTGAAGCGTGGTTGTTCACGCATGACTGAGAGAAATCTGTCAACACAAAACGTCTCTTACAGGGCTTCAAGATAAAAGGTGGATGCTCTGAATGCTGTCTCGCACGCCAGTCCGACGGTCTTCCTCGGCTCCTAAACAACCAGCCCCTGTACCCGAAAGCATCTGCTGGCTAAATATTATGGCTATTCCGATTACTTCGCAAGCCGAATTGAGTGATGCATAAGGAGGGGGTTTGGGGGCTAGAGCTGGTTTAGCCAGAGCTCGCTACAATCTGCAATTGGAGTCCGTGTTGCCAAGCATTCGATCCTGGGATATTCTAGCTAATACTTTTGCAAAGCTTTCGCGCGTGTGCCTTCCTTTCATGACAACTTGCTCTGCATCCGCGCGAAAGCGCGGCGGCTCCTTGAAACTGGCAAGGCAACTTGCTCCAGCTTGGAAATTGCAGCTTCTCAGAACAAGCGTGGCACACACCGACCGTGCTTTGGCCGCTCCAGCTCAACAACCTCAACTACTCAGCACAAGAGAAGTGTGCAAAAGAGACCCCCCCCCCCCCCTGGATCTGGAGCTTTCGCGGAATTCCCCGCCCCTTTTGGAAACTACACTCATGCATACTCTCGCACGGTTACCCCATTCACAGTTGATGACTTTGCTGCCAAGGTCAATCCAAACCCTCACTTTTGCAGGTCTGAACAAGGGGGGGGCTTGAATCAACTTGAAGCAATATAATTATGAAAGGCAAACATGGGCTTTCTATATATATATATATATAGAAACATATTATCACTATGAATGCAGTTTTGCTCAAAGGACAACCCTACTTTTGGATGGCGCCAGGGGTATCTCAGCAATCAACATTCACCGTCGTGTGCGTAGTATAGAGAATGACTCTGTGGCACACTCACTGGACTAGCATTAGGGCATGTGGGCCGATGAGGAGTATGGGCTTGTCTCCAACATCAGCGAACCCAAAGTGCGCTATTTCTTTGTGTTTGTTTATCCAGTTGCTAGCTTGTTTTAATCCCAGCATTTCTGGCTTTATTTATCCCAGCTGGCGTGAAATGCATTCGTGAGCTTGTGTTGTCCCCAAATCATTGGAATCGCCACACACCTGGCATCGTCAAAATGGGGGACCCTCAAAAGGTGGCTTTCCTGACATTTCTTGAAACCCACCTTACAAACAGGGCCCCCCTCCCCAAACAAAAACAAACAAAACACACAAACACATATCTGAGCTCCCTCAAATCCCCCGCTAAAAGTGAATAACTTTTAGTGGGTTAAATGGAAACTACCACTAAACACCAAAAGGCTAAACAGCTAAGGAACCGGATGGCCTTCCAAGAAAATAAACCCACTTGGGCCTCGGCCTGTTGGCCAGTTTCTTCGGGTCACTCGCTGCTTCTCTCTCGCTTTTCTCTCGTGGCCCTGCCTGCAGCACCTCGATGCGGTCCAGGAGCGCCGCCACGCGCCGGGCGTTCTTCTCCAAGGCTTCCTGCGACTGGGAAGCTTCTCGGCTTCCCAACGAAACTGGCTAAAAAGCTAAGGAACCGGATGGCTGGGAGCCACCAAGTTGTGGTTCATGGGTGTTGGGAGGAACGGCTTGGGACTCCCTCGCTTCCAAACTAAACATGGGAGAATTGGGGCTTGTCCTGGTTGTGTGGGAAATGTGGCCTTCAACCATGTCCTCAAACTGCCAATCATCTGCGAACTGTATAACCCTATAGGGTAGTCGAGGTCCTCCAGATTTGAAAATTTAGAATAAGGGTGCCCATTTTTGTTCTCAGGACATCTATTTTAGGGGAACCCTCCCAACCAAAAAAGGGCGAGAAAGGGCACTACCGGGGGACCTAGTAAAGTTTCTGCCATAGGATGGGTGGGCGAAATCTTGCACCGCTTTGAGACCAAGGGAAACCGTGGTTTGTTGGTATGTACAGTGGATCGAATCATTCCAGGGTTTCTTAGGTGGTGCAGGAATTTGTCCATCCACAGTAGGTGTCCTTTTGGGAAAAATAGCTGGCCCTGGTAGATTGTGAACAACCAGGTCAACCAGGGCCATCTATTTCCACTAATCCCACAGGTGATATGAGGCCGCGGCAAAACCTCAATTGAAATGGGCTGCACATGTGTTTTCTTATCGGTTTTGCGTCAAAGTTTATCGTTTTACGCATTAGATGTATGTTCAACCTTATCGTTTTTTTTGCACCTCATCGTTTTACCGGGGTTCGCGCATTTTTGGACCATCGGCTCTCATGGTGGCTTCAAGGGCTTTCTTCGTCGGACTCACGAGCAGCAAGCTCCTTCCATGCTTTTCGTTTGCGTTTGCTTGCTTCAATTTGTTTGGCTAGCCTGCGCTCATCAACTGCAATAATGTGTTCCAACGTAGAGTCCAAGACATGTTCCAACGTAAAAGACAAGTATGCTGTCCATGGCCGGGAGACATCAAAGGGAAAGCTAGGGTAGAGTGGCTAAGTTCCTCTCAATGGGCAACTCCTCACGGGCATGGGTTCTGTCAAAAAGCGTTATCGTTTTTGTTATCGTTTTCAGCGTCGTGACTCGGAAGCCTCTCCCCGGTCTCAATGCTCCAAGCCATGGTTGTGAACAGGAAGGACGGAAAGGGAGCAACCAAGATTGAGCAAAATGCTAGCAATACGTGCATTCCATGCTCCAAACCTTATCGTTTTCCAGCACACACAACACGGAAACACCCAAAAACCTTATCGTTTTTTTTTGCACCTTATCGTTTTACCGGGCTTCGTGATTGTCCAACACAATGTGCGCGACTCTTACATCCCGCAAGCACGAGAGTATTGCCAGTACCTCATATGTTTGTGGGTCTACCTTACTATGGTTTCTACACCTTGGAGTGTTTGCTGATCAGGGGATTAACTACGTGCCGAGGTGAAACACGGTACTGGCATCGCAATAGATATGCCCTCAAGAATCTGACCTTCTTTCTGGCTCCTGTCCTTGAGTAGCAAGGGTCTTTTGGGTTGGCCTTGTCTCGGCCATACACGTGGGTCATGATAGTGGTATGGTTTCCTTTGCCACGTCCAGTAACACGTAGTCCAACCACGTTCTTTTGGGTTCTCAAAGTGGACCCCCTCCCCCCGATAAAGAAAGAAAAAAGAAAAAGGAACAAGCGCAAAGTGCATTTCGTTGGCTCACCTTTTAACTACCCCTAAAAGGGGCTATACACTTTTTGGCGGTGGTATTGGTATTTGTTGCAGGAGACCTGGGGTTGAGCAAGGGCTTGCCACCCAAAACAACTGGAAACTACATGAGATTGAATTCTCAATCGGGACGCTTTTCGCTTGGGTGGACATAGACATCAACATTTGGTGGGGATTCACGTCCACCAACCACTTTTGGATCAGTTCCAAACCTTTTAAACTCAGCAAACCACATTCTCTGACCGGCTGATCGGCTCCAAAAGTTCGCTCGGAGCAAAGGCCCAAGACACAAATCAAACTCAAGAGTCCCTCATGGTTCTGGAATAATCTTCTCTGTGATGCCAATGTGATTGATTCTCAGCTCGATGGAAAATCAGAGACTCAAAGGCCAATACACGTTCGTCACGGGCCAGCGGTAAACCCCTGGCATCAAGTCGCATCAAGTCAACCTTTGCAGCTTGAAAGGGACACCGAGGAAAACCAAAACAGTTGCAACGGTCAAACAGAAATAGGACGAAGTGCAAACAGGCAGTACTCATCCAAAAACAACAAACAACATACAACAAACAAACAAAAGCTCAAAAACTCAACTCCACATACGTCCAAAAGAAACACACACCAACAACCACAAACAACTACAAACCAAAGCTCAAAACAAAAACCAACACTGGGCTGTCCTCAGATCCCCAGCTAAAAAGCTTAACTTTTAGTGGGTTAAATGCAAATCCAAGCACTAGACACTGAAAAGCTAAAAGGCTAAGGAACCGGATGGCCTTCGGGAGCCACCAAGAAACACAGAACTTCGAAAGGTAAGCCGGCGCAGGTCTCCAAAGATGCGCGCCTCTCCCTCTCGCTTCACTAGCTTGGCCTCGCCCTGGCGAAAGCTTTTTCGAGTTTCTCGCCCGACGCGGGGAAGAGATGTGGGTGGCTGTTTGTGTGTGTGTTTCCGAGTTTTGTTTTGTTTTGCAAGGGCGCCCCTGTCTTTTGAAGGGAACCCCCCCGTATTTCTGGGGTTGTTCTCAGATCTGTTTAAAGTTGAGGCTTTGAGTGGGTTGAATTCGGACACCCAGCCGCGAAGCCCCAAAAACTGGCAGCCGAAGGAACCGGACGGCTGGAAAGCGCCAAGTGTTGGTTGGTTTTAAGGGGGCGCCGAAAGAAAAAACACCGCCAAACTATTCGTTTTTAGGGGGGGTTCCCTAAAAAAGACACCGCCATGACCCATGGCCTGTAGAAAACGGGAGATCTGAACGACAGCTGGACTCCAAAGCTGTGTCACAAGGGTAAGCCTTTGGTTTGGCTCCAAGCCCCTGACCTAGCAAAAGGTGGGGCGCAATCCTGGCGACGAGAGTTTCCTAATGGTCTGCCCTTAATGGCAGCAAGCCGGAAAAAAAAAGCTCTGACTAACATGAAAGCTGCTCCTTCCTTTAGAAAACCTCTGGAAGTTCTATGTATGTCAAGAGCGTACATGTGTTTTGATAGCTAAACATGAGGAACTTGGGGTACACCCCAAAAAAGGCAATCATACCTACACGTGCGTTTGCCCACACCATCCAAACTCCAGCCTCATCTTCACGTTGCTTCGGAGGGGCTTTGTGGGGCTGATCTGAACAAGGTCACGAATTTTACAACCAAATTGAGTCATCATCAGCGTCAGGCTCAGTAGCGCCAAACATGGCCCCGTCATGCCTCCGGTTGCCCAAGGAAAGGTGCCGAATGATGAAACAGCCTGCCCAGTGACGAATCCTTCACCCGGGGGTTTGTCAACATCACGAGCCCTTTAGGTGCAAGGCGGCACCGGTCCAAATAGGGGACATATGTTTGACCCCCCCCTGCAGTTGTCGGGGTGCAAGGACCGGGATTGTGCCCTTTGACTTTGGGGAACCAGCTTTGTATTGTTTTCTCAACGCGTTCATTTTTATTTGAGGGGCTGCATGTTTTGCCCCGCAATTTTTGGGGGAGTACCTTCCCAAAACAAACATAAAGCCTGGCTGCTGCTGGAGGACCATTGGCTTTTCAAAGACTCCTCTGCTTGACTTGTCCACGTTTGTTGGGAGGGTAATATAGGGGGTGAGCAATGCCCCAACTTGAGTTTGAAGCACCCCACGCCCCATTCCGATGATTTTGACCCTTTTCCAGTATCCGTGGCCCCCAAAAAGGGGGGAGGGTGCTCAAATTGTGTGGTCCCCCAAAATGCCATCGCAAAGCTGTTGGCTTTCCCCTGACCAACATGGGAAAAAAAGTTTGCCCCCCCCCCAAAAAAAAGAAGAAAAGTGTCCAAACCTGTTCGTTTTCCCCCCCCCAAAGATGGCAACTTTCCCCTCTCAACTAGTCCCCCAAAATGTCATCGCAAACCTGTTGGTTTCCCTTGACCAACACAAAAAAAAACTGTCTCCCTCTAACATGGCACCTGATAGGGGGTCAAGAGGAGATTCATCTTTCACAGACCTCCCCATAGCTGCCATAGCAAGGTCACTTTCCCCCGCCCGACGACTGAAAAACACGTGCGCGCGCCCCGCGCCCGCTGCCGTTGGGCCCAACGGCGGTTGCGCCTCCAGCACACCTCGCTCCGCCCGGAGGGCCTGCTCCGCCTCCTGGGCGCGCCGCTGCTGGCGCCGCAGCTCCTCCTGGACGCCGCTCAAGCGGCGGTTTTTTAACTGGGCTGCCCTCAGATCCCCACTAAAAGTTGAACTTTTAGTGGGTTAAATGGAAACTACCACTAAACACTAAAAGGCTAGAAAGCTAAGGGGATGGCTGGGAGCCACCAAGTTAAATATTGGGCGTTCAGGAATCCAAGGATACTGTATCGAAACTTTAAAAATGGGTATTGGGGTGGGGGGGTGTGCTGGTATTAAGGTTTGTGAGATGTAGCAAGAAACTCAGATGCCCAGTAAGTTTCCCTGGGAAACTAAGAGTCGGCATCCTTTTTTGGTTGAGTTTAAAGGGATCGGAACCCTTCCCAAAAACCGGAAAAAAAGGCGCCACTGAGGACTTCTAAGCTGTTGTAAGAAAACATGAACAAATGAAAGGTTCATTATGGAAGAATCCAGGCTTCAAGCCTTCTTGAAATCTAAGGTTCATTCATATCCGGCATCACTTAGAAACTTTAGTGTTGGTATTAAGGTATTAGATGAGGTAAGGGGGACATTTATGGATTTCAGACGTGTTCTTTTTAAACAAACACTCAATAATATTGGATTGTTCAATTAAACACGTATATATATATACATATATCAATATCAAGAAACTTAAATTCGATATGACTATGTTAGGAGGGGTAAACATGGATCTGTTGTTTTCAAACAAAATATCTCGGATTTGGAATCTCGTTTTTTTTTAGTATCGGTACTTATAAATTTAGATATTAATATTAATGTATTATCAGCCACCAGCGTTGACTTGAATTGAACTGTTATATTTTGGTTTTTAGGAGGTACATTGACAAATACAATCTATAACCATTTGTATGGGCAAGTAACAGTGCAAAATAACCATCGTTTTCTGGACAACTTGTTCCTGGGTAATTGTGATTCGTAAATCTTGGAAATATATTGTTAACCCCTCAGCATGTAAACAATCCTACCCTTTAAGAGCCATCTACTCCGCAGCAGCTTAAGATACACACCAAAACCGCCGTTCGTAGAGGACTCTCCTCTTGGCCCACCCCCCCCCCCTTTTTGGGTCCCTTCTGTTACTTTGCTGGGAGTAATGATGCTTGGTGGGAGGCTTGTTGGTTTCCTATGCTCGTTGAACATCATCCCTAACAAAAAGCCACTAACAATTGGCTATTGGCACAAAGGGGTGCGGAATGTTCCCTTCAGATTCACATGGACCCTTCTAGTCAAAGGACCCCCGCAGTCGATTTTCATGGGAACATGATTCGGCGCTCCCTTTTGAGTTTGTTCACTTTGAAGGAGGTTGAACCAAAACTTGACAAACTTTGAACCACAACTTGAACAACTGATTGCTGGCCATGAAAGACCGGGAGGTCGCGGAGTCGCGGAGCATGTGGACAGGCACGGGCGTTTCCGCGTTTCGTGCTGAGCTTCTTCATTTTTTGCAGACGCCTTTAAAGAGATTTGTATGGCCCAAAAGACAACCCTTGATTCACTATGGAAGCTGGACCCCGGAAGCCCATTTGGCCTTCTGAGAGCGAACCTTGGAACATGACTCAGAGGCGGAAGCTGCTGGCCGAATTCCGCTCAGTGCTTGTTCAGGGGTCTGAAGCAATTTCCCTCTGAAGGATCGAACATCGTATTTGCATGGCAGGTTGCATTGGGAAGTCAACTGACCCTCTTGTTCAGTGCGTCCTTTTGGACCCCCCAACCCCCCTTCCCCCCTACCCTTTCCCTCCCTCAACGCCCTCCCTCTCCTCCACCCCCCTCCCTCTCCCCACTTTGGCCCTCTCCCCACCCTCCCCACCCCCACCCCCGGCGCCTCGAAGCGCTTGGCCTCTGCCGCCTTCTGCGCCAACTGCTGCGCCGAGGTCTCCAGCAGCGTCTGCAGCTCCGCCTCCCGGCCGTCCTCGGCACCGCGAGCGCCGCGCGCGGCTCGTTCCGCGCGCGGAACGTCGTTCCGCGCGGGGGAAAAAAACGCGTCGAGCGGCACGGGAGTCGTTGCCGCAAAGCGAGTTGCCCAGGGAACCCTCCGCTTTTTTCGGGGGGTTGAGGAAACCAAAAACCAAGCCATTTGCTTTTGTTGGGGGTCCAACCTAAAAGACACAACCAGCTACATATAGGAGCATATAAATTCACGTGTGTGGGTATGTGTTTGCGTTAACGATTGGGATTCGGACCTGCAGCAACCCGGCTTTCTCTTGTTGGCTTCCCTTTAAACCAAGCTGAAAGGGTATGAACAAAACACAAACCCAAGTGGAGCTGGGGGCAATTTGTTGAAACAACGTAACTAGACCCTTGGCCAGGAAATCTACTGCTTGTTTGACAATAATTGGCTGCAACAACGCCCTGGTTTAACCAAAAGGATGCTGTTCAACGAGTGGTCTCTGGTTTGTTTTGGAAGACCTAGAAGAAAAACAAATAAATAGTGCACTTCCATATTTGGCGGTCTGCAAACCAAGTAACGACCCCAAAGACGACCAAGAGAGGGTGGGGAAGGCTGGCGCCGCGCGGGATGCTCGGCGCATCCACGACACTCAACTCAAACAAGAAGAACCTTGTGTTTCTTGCGGACCCTATGGACATCATGAAAACAC